CTAGCATGTCATCCACATAGACCTCCATTGTACTGCCAATCTGCTCGGCGAAGATTCAGTTGACTAGTCTGTGATAGGTCGCCCCCGCATTCTTCAAGCCGAACGGCATGACGTTATAGCAATATAGGCCTTTGTCTGTTATGAACGCCGTGTGTTCGCTATCGGCAGGGTGCATGAAGATCTGGTTGTATCCTGAGTATGAGTCCATGAAGCTGAGCAATTCGTGACCTGCAGTGGCGTCAACCAGCTGATCGATGCGTGGCAACGGGAAGCTATCCTTCAGACAGGCCTTATTGAGGTCGGTATAGTCTTGGCACATTCTAGTCTTGGCACATTTGCCACCCGCCTTTTACCTTCCGAACCATGACAGAGTTTGCCATCCAATCCGGGTATACAGCCTCCCGGATGAAGCCTATGGTCATTAGTTTGTCCACTTCGTTTTTCATAGCTTCATACCGTTCGGCATCATAGGATCGGCGCTTTTGCCTGACGGGTTTGAAGGCTAGTGAGATGCTCAGCTTGTGGCTGATGACATCAGGGGATATGCCTGGCATGTCGTTATAAGACCAGGCAAAGACTTACGAGTTCTGCCGAAGGAACTGGATGAATTCGGCACGGAGGGTGGCGTTTAACATGGTACTGATTCTCACACACCGATCCGGTTGACGCTCGTCCAGCACCACCGTTTCGAGATCCTCGACAGGTTGTGCCACCGGAGTGGGCGTTTCCTCCCTTGGATCGTCCACTGGTTTGTTGCCGTTCGGCAAGCCTGCGACCGTAAGGGTCTCCTTCTGCTTTTGAGGGGCTGCTGATTTCAACGCCGTGGCATAGCAGTTCCGAGCACTTACCTGATCGCCCCTGATTGCCCCCGTGCCGTAGCAGGTTGAACTTCATGAGTAGCATGTGGGGGGATAAGTGGGCCTTTATCGCCATGAGCGCCGTTAGACCAACTATGACGTTGTAGGCCGTCGGACAGTCCACCACAAGGAACTGGTCGTAGACCATGGTCCTTCGTGGGGCTGTGCCGAAGGAGATTGGCAGACTGACACTGCCGATTGGCTGGACCAGGTCTCCCAAAAAGCTAAGGAGAGGCGAGAGTTGTCGGTTGACCTGGCTGTCATCTATTCCGAGTTCTTTGAATGCATCGGCAAAGATGACATTTACCGAGCTGCCAGTGTCGATCAGAATTCGTCCGACATCGAATTCGGCAATTTCGGCTCGGATGATCATAGGGTCGTCATGTGGGTAGATGATCCCCTCCTCTTCTTCCTCGGAGAAGGTGATGGGTTCCCACCTGACCTTCGGCATCTTGGTATGCCGGCTACTTTCTATGCCGAGGACTTGGGGGTATTGTGCCGCCCTGACATACTGCTTCATTGACCGGTTAGATGCCCCGGCGAGGGTTGGGCCCCCACTGATCGTGCTGATCATGTTGATCTGTCGATTGGCGTTCGGCACTGGCGCCTGCTGCGGCCTGGCTATGTACTGATCCAGTTTGCCTTCCCGAATCAACCGCTCGACGATCTTCCGCAAGCTGATGCAGTCCTCAGTGTTGTGGCTATTCTGCTGGTGGTATCGGCAGAATTTCCCTGTATCCCTGCCGTCTTGCCGACTGGGCTTTCGGAATGCTGGCTTCGGGATTATCTCGATCTTCCGCAAGCTGATGCAGTCCTCAGTGTTGTGGCTATTCTGCTAGTGGTATCGACAGAATTTCCCTATATCCCTGCCGTCTTGCCGACTGGGCTTTCGGAATGCTGGCTTCGGGATTATCTCATTTTCTTTCATCAGTACCGCTTCGTAGGAGGTATTAAGCAGGGTGAACACCTCTGTCCCCTGGTTATGTGCCGGTAGTGGAGCTCGGTAGTTGTCCCTGCCGTACCTGCTCTTGTTTTTCTTGGAATGCCCCTTTTGGGAGCTTCCGGCATCTTTGCATTTGTGGCTTTCAAGGTATCCGGCAGTTTGTGCTGCTGGTGCGAACGGCGATGCCTGTGCCGTGGAGGACCGCTGTATGGGTTCGCTCTACCGAGTCGTGGGCTCGGCCCTCAAGTTGAAGTATTCAGCTTTGGCGTGGATTGCCGCTTGCTTCATGAGTTCATCGTACGTACGCCAATTGCTGCTGTGTACCAGATACAGAAAGTGTGAGAACCGTAGGCCACTCTTGAAGGCGCCGTAGGCTGCCCTGTCATCGGTATCTGGACATCTTGAGTATTCATGGATGAATCATGCGGCATACTCACGCAATGGTTCGTCATCTCTCTGCCGGATGGTATATAGATCATCGGCAGAATACAGTCTGTCCGTCTGAATCATAAAATGGTTCAGGAAAATCTGTTTTAGCTCGTCGAAGGAATCTACCGTTCTTGGTTCCAAACGGTAGAACCAGTTCAGAGCCGCTTCCGTGAGCGAAGAGGGGAACAGAAGGCACAGTCCTTCGTCGCTTAGCCCTCGGCAGCCTACAGCCTGTCTGCCGCGCAAATCTCACGGCCTGGAGTTCCGGACCGAGGGGATGTGCGTTAACACGGAGTTTCCTGCTTTTGGGTGCGGTGCGGTTGTGCGCGGACGTGCCAGCACGGTCTACCGTGCGTTAATGTGTTGATGAGTGTTGGATGGATAAGTGGTGCGCCTGTTTGATCTGTCTTCCTACTCAAAATGATTGTAGCCGAGAGAGGAACTGGTCTCGGCTGTTAGGTTCACGGCCTGAACTACAAGGCCGTTGAGTGATGGTGTTGGTGGTGGGTTTTGGGCGGTGCTCCGGCGCGCTGCTCAGGGAGCGACGGTCGTGTGATATATGGGGTGAGTGAACGAATAACAAGGATGGTGCTCCGGCGCCTTGAAAATCAAGGGTCGTATGATATATTGATGAATGGATTTTCCTTACAATCTACCACTACT